CCTTTAGATATACCCGTTGTCACCTGTACATACGTTGGACACCTTGTAGATATACCCGTTGGCACCTGTACATACGTAGGACACCTTGTAGATATACCCGTTGGCACCTGTACATACATAGGGCACCTTGTAGATATACCCGTTGTCACCTGTACATACGTAGGACACCTTGTAGATATACCCGTTGTCATCTGTACATACATAGGGTACCTTGTAGATACACCCGTTGGCACCTGTACATACATAGGACATCTTGTAGATATACCCGTTGGCACCTGTATACATAGGACATCTTGTAGATACACCCGTTGGCACCTGTACATACGTAGGACATCTTGTAGATATACCCGTTGTCATCTGTATATACGTAGGGCACTTTGTAGATATACCCGCTGTCACCTGTACATACGTAAGACACCTTGTAGAGATACCCGTTGGCACCTGTACATACATAGGGCACCTTGTAGATATACCCGCTGACACCTGTACATACGTAGGACATCTTGTAGATATACCCGTTGTCATCTGTATATACGTAGGGCACTTTGTAGATATACCCGCTGTCACCTGTACATACGTAAGACACCTTGTAGAGATACCCGTTGGCACCTGTACATACATAGGGCACCTTGTAGATATACCCGTTGGCACCTGTACATACGTAGGACACCTTGTAGATATACCCGTTGGCACCTGTATACATAGGACATCTTGTAGATACACCCGTTGGCACCTGTACATACGTAGGACACCTTGTAGATATACCCGTTGGCACCTGTACATACATAGGGCACCTTGTAGATATACCCGCTGTCACCTGTACATACGTAAGACACCTTGTAGAGATACCCGTTGGCACCTGTACATACATAGGGCACCTTGTAGATATACCCGTTGGCACCTGTACATACGTAAGACACCTTGTAGATATACCCGTTGGCACCTGTACATACGTAGGACACCTTGTAGATATACCCGTTGTCACCTGTACATACGTAGGACACCTTGTAGATATACCCGTTGGCACCTGTACATACGTAAGACACCTTGTAGATATACCCGTTGGCACCTGTACATACATAGGACACCTTGTAGATACACCCGTTGGCACCTGTACATACGTAAGACACCTTGTAGAGATACCCGTTGGCACCTGTATACATGGGACATCTTGTAGATACACCCGTTGGCACCTGTACATACGTAGGACATCTTGTAGATATACCCGTTGTCATCTGTATATACGTAGGGCACTTTGTAGATATACCCGTTGGCACCTGTATATACGTGGGACATCTTGTAGATATACCCGTTGGCACCTGTACATACATAGGACACCTTGTAGATACACCCGTTGGCACCTGTACATACGTAAGACACCTTGTAGAGATACCCGTTGGCACCTGTATACATAGGACATCTTGTAGATACACCCGTTGGCACCTGTACATACGTAGGACATCTTGTAGATATACCCGTTGTCATCTGTATATACGTAGGGCACTTTGTAGATATACCGTTGGCACCTGTATATACGTAGGACATCTTGTAAGATACACCCGTTGTCACCTGTACATACATAGGACATCTTGTAGATACACCCGTTGGCACCTGTACATACGTAGGACATCTTGTAGAGATATACCCGTTGTCATCTGTATATACGTAGGGCGCTTTGTAGATATACCCGTTGGCACCTGTATATACGTAGGACACCTTGTAGATATACCCGTTGGCACCTGTGCATACGTAAGACACCTTGTAGAGATACCGTTGGCACCTGTATACATAGGACATCTTGTAGATACACCCGTTGGCACCTGTATACATAGGACATCTTGTAGATACACCCGTTGGCACCTGTACATGCGTAGGACATCTTGTAGATGTACCCGTTGTCACCCTGTATATACGTAGGACATCTTGTAGATATACCCGTTGGCACCTGTATATACGTAAGACACCTTGTAGATACACCCGTTGGCACCTGTATATACGTGGGACATCTTGTAGATATACCCGTTGTCATCTGTATATACGTAGGGCACTTTGTAGATATACCCGTTGGCACCTGTATATACGTGGGACATCTTGTAGATATACCCGTTGACACCTGTACATACATAGGACACCTTGTAGATACACCCGTTGGCACCTGTACATACGTAAGACACCTTGTAGAGATACCCGTTGGCACCTGTATACATGGGACATCTTGTAGATACACCCGTTGGCACCTGTACATACGTGGGACATCTTGTAGATATACCCGTTGTCATCTGTATATACGTAGGGCACTTTGTAGATATACCCGTTGGCACCTGTATATACGTGGGACACCTTGTAAGATATACCCGTTGGCACCTGTACATACGTAAGACACCTTGTAGAGATACCCGTTGGCACCTGTATACATGGGACATCTTGTAGATACACCCGTTGGCACCTGTATACATGGGACATCTTGTAGATACACCCGTTGGCACCTGTACATACGTGGGACATCTTGTAAGATATACCCGTTGGCACCTGTACATACATAGGACACCTTGTAGATATACCCGTTGGCACCTGTGCATACGTAAGACACCTTAATAGATATACCCGTTGGCACCTGTATATACGTGGGACATCTTGTAGATATACCCGTTGGCACCTGTATATACGTAGGACATCTTGTAGATACACCCGTTGGCACCTGTATATACGTAGGACATCTTGTAGATATACCCGTTGTCATCTGTATATACGTAGGGCGCTTTAATAAGATATACCCGTTGGCACCTGTATATACGTAGGACATCTTGTAGATATACCCGTTGGCACCTGTACATACGTAAGACACCTTGTAGATATACCCGTTGGCACCTGTACATACGTAAGACACCTTGTAGAGATACCCGTTGGCACCTGTATACATAGGACATCTTGTAGATACACCCGTTGGCACCTGTATACATGGGACATCTTGTAGATACACCCGTTGGCACCTGTACATACGTAAGACACCTTGTAGATATACCCGTTGGCACCTGTGCATACGTAAGACACCTTGTAGATATACCCGTTGGCACCTGTATATACGTAGGACATCTTGTAGATATACCCGTTGGCACCTGTACATACGTAAGACACCTTGTAGATATACCCGTTGGCACCTGTACATACGTAAGACACCTTGTAGAGATACCGTTGGCACCTGTATACATAGGACATCTTGTAGATACACCCGTTGGCACCTGTATACATAGGACATCTTGTAGATACACCCGTTGGCACCTGTACATACGTAAGACACCTTGTAAGATATACCCGTTGGCACCTGTGCATACGTAAGACACCTTGTAGATATACCCGTTGGCACCTGTACATACATGGGACACCTTGTAGATACACCCGTTGTCATCTGTATATACGTAGGACATCTTGTAGATACACCCGTTGGCACCTGTACATACGTAGGACATCTTGTAGATATACCCGTTGGCACCTGTACATACATAGGACATCTTGTAGATACACCCGTTGGCACCTGTACATACATGGGACATCTTGTAGATATACCCGTTGGCACCTGTACATACGTAGGACATCTTGTAGATGTACCCGTTGTCACCTGTGCATACGTAAGACACCTTGTAGATATACCCGTTGGCACCTGTGCATACGTAAGACACCTTGTAGATATACCCGTTGGCACCTGTATACATAGGACATCTTGTAGAGATACCCGTTGGCACCTGTACATACGTAGGACATCTTGTAGATGTACCCGTTGTCACCTGTGCATACGTAAGACACCTTGTAGATATACCCGTTGTCACCTGTGCATACGTAAGACACCTTGTAGATATACCCGTTGTCACCTGTGCATACGTAAGACACCTTGTAGATATACCCGCTGTCACCTGTGCATACGTAAGACACCTTGTAGATATACCCGTTGGCACCTGTGCATACGTAAGACACCTTGTAGATATACCCGCTGTCACCTGTGCATACGTAAGACACCTTGTAGATATACCCGTTGTCACCTGTGCATACGTAAGGCACCTTGTAGATACACCCGTTGGCACCTGTGCATACGTAAGACACCTTGTAGATATACCCGTTGGCACCTGTATACATAGGACATCTTGTAGATACACCCGTTGGCACCTGTACATACATAGGACATCTTGTAGATATACCCGTTGTCACCTGTGCATACGTAAGACACCTTGTAGATATACCCGTTGTCACCTGTGCATACGTAAGACACCTTGTAGATATACCCGTTGTCACCTGTGCATACGTAAGACACCTTGTAGATATACCCGTTGGCACCTGTGCATACGTAAGACACCTTGTAGATATACCCGTTGGCACCTGTATACATAGGACATCTTGTAGAGATACCCGTTGGCACCTGTACATACGTAGGACATCTTGTAGATATACCCGTTGTCACCTGTGCATACGTAAGACACCTTGTAGATATACCCGCTGTCACCTGTACATACGTAAGACACCTTGTAGATATACCCGTTGGCACCTGTGCATACGTAAGACACCTTGTAGATATACCCGTTGCCACCTGTATACGTAGGACACCTTGTAGATATACCCGTTGGCACCTGTACATGGGACACCTTGTAGATACACCCGTTGTCACCTGTATATACGTAGGACATCTTGTAGATATACCCGTTGGCACCTGTATATACGTAGGGACATCTTGTAGATATACCCGTTGGCACCTGTATATATACATTAGGACACCTTGTAGATATACCTGTTGGCACCTGTGCATACGTAAGACACCTTGTAGATATACCTTTTACCACCTTACATACTTAGGGCACCTTGTAGATATACGCGTTGGCACCTGTATACGTACTGCACATTAAATATGCAAACGTTGACACCTGTACATACGTAGGAAACGTTGTAGGTGTAGTCGTTAACACGTGCACATGCATTCGGCATACCTGCATGCAGCTTTATAACGGGCACATACCATGCAGGTGCAAGTACGCCAACGCAACCTACTGTACGCCGGCGTCGAGACAGAGGTTAAGGGGCACTTAAAAGAGCACATGATAACCACGAAGCATGTAATAACGTTCAGGGCCCCGTTTCACAAAGCTCTCGTAGCGCTACGACTATCGTAAGTCAATGTTACAGTATAGAAGGTAGGAATGATACGAGAAAAATTACGAGATGTTAGACTTACGAGAGCTTTGTAAAACGGGGCCCAGGGCCCCGTTCCTCAAAGCGATCGTAGCGCTACGACAGTCGTAAGTCTATGTTAAAGTATGGGAGTTACGATCACCTTAACGCTACGATCACTTTCAGGAACGGGGCCCTGAACCACAGACAGGGAACATATCAATACATGGTGTTAGAAAGATTACGACATCTGATTTATTATAGTTCTGATTTCATAGCCACCAGTTCTAACGACACCAAGTGTGAGTGCCGCACCGAGACCGTGGCTATCCGTACAAAGGTACTCTCCTCTATGTGCCAAGCCCAATCTGTCAGGGCGGACTGTCCCACAACCTGCGAGCACCGTACAAACTGTCTGAGCCACCTGTCAGGGAGTACCTATTGCTCCGTACAAACTGTCTGTATTCTCCTCTCTACCACAGTGCCACGCCCTATCTGTCAGGGCGGTCTGCCCCACAACCTGCGAACACCGAGACCGTGAGTACCTATTGCTCCGTACAAACTGTCTGTATTCTCCTCTCTACCACAGTGCCACGCCCTATCTGTCAGGGCGGACTGTCCCACAACCTGCGAACACCGAGACCGTGAGTACCTATTGCTCCGTACAAACTGTCTGTATTCTCCTCTCTACCACAGTGCCACGCCCTATCTGTCAGGGCGAGCTGCCCCACAACCTGCGAACACCGAGACCGTGAGTACCTATTGCTCCGTACAAACTGTCTGTACTCTCCTCTCTACCACAGTGCCACGCCCTATCTGTCAGGGCGGTCTGCCCCACAACCTGCGAACACCGAGACCGTGAGTACCGCTCCGTACAAACTGTCTGTGTCTGTACTGCCTCTCTACCACAGTGCCACGCCCTATCTGTCAGGGCGGACTGTCCCACAACCTCTGCGAGCACCGACCTGCGACCGTGAGTACCTATTGCTCCGTACAAACTGTCTGTACTCTCCTCTCTACAACAGTGCCACGCCCTATCTGTCAGGATATGAGCGGAAGTGACAATCATGCGAACACCGAGACCGTGGTACCTATTGTCCGTACAAACTGTCTGTACTCTCCTCTGTATCTTCAGTCAGGACGGACATTACGACAGTGTGATGTCTGTCTCCACACATAACATACGGATGGTAAGTATCTATATGAGATATGAGCGGAAGTGAGGATCATGAGGTTATCGGGATATAATGCCTTGTATTAGATCAACTTAGCGTTTCCAATAGTCGTTAGTCTGTGTTCAGGTATGGGACTTACGATCACTTTAGCGCTACGACAGTCGAATGTCTGTGTTCAGGTATGGGACTTACGATCACCTTAGCGTTACGACAGTCGAATGTCTGTGTTCAGGTATTGGACTTACGATCACCTTAGCGTTACGACAGTCGAAAGTTCTGTGTTCAGGTATTGGAACTACAGTCACCCTAGAGCTAACATCGTTTGTTCAACTGGACTGGATTTGGATATCATATATTTTTTTTTGTGGATATATATTTTCAAAGAAGCTAACTTTATTTCTGGGACTAATTATTAGTCTACGTGCATTTAGAGATTCTAAACGTATACCTGTCAATCATTGATACCTATATCCGATTTCCAGAGCTGGAATGCCCAGATGCACCCAGTTTTCCCCATGCGCACACGGTCCCCATCAAGAGCAAATACTTCTTCCTCGACACCGTGAACTACGAATGCGACGAAGGTTACTACAACGTCGGATCGAAACCTGCGTTGGTGTGCAACGAGACTGCGCAGTGGAAGTACGCTCGAAAAGTCACATTCCCCGACTGTATAGGTACGTGTGTACCAACGTGTTCTGAACGCCCTTCATGACCTTCACCTTTGGGCACTGAACAGAGAAAAAGTCACCGTATCCCAGTTGTGTAGATCAATACTCATGATGTTGATCACTTGATTGTCTGGTCCAGACTTGATAATTTAGATAGCTGGAATATTGCTGAGGGCGGCGTTTAACAACAACAACAACAACAACAACAACAACAACAACAACAACAACAGCAACAACAAACATTAGTTATGATGATTTAGTCTTAAGTAACGGACAGCCAGATAAACAACAGGTCATTCAAGATATTTCATATAGATATTTTCTATCAATTTCTAACCAGTTTCGCCTCTTATCTGTCAAGATCCGCTTATGGTCGGTTCAGATCTAAAGCTCGTCCCGATTAGGATCGGTGTTCTGCACCGTACCGGTGTGACCTATTTCGCAAGTGCCGAATGTTTTCGCCCACACGCTTGAAAACACTCTTAAAATTCTCCTTAAAAAACTCAGGCTTTAAAAATTATTTGCAGTGATAGAATGCAGTAGACCTCCAACTATTGCGCATGCGTCATGGGAAGGATCTTCCTTTGAGTTCAACAACTCAGTGGTGTACACCTGTGATCTCGGATACGAGGCTGCAACCGGAAGTGACGTCAGAACATGTGACTCCAGCAGAACGTGGTTAGGGGAAGATCTCGTGTGTGAAAGTAAGCATTGGTTTGACTTTCAGTCTCTTTATGGGTGCATTGGGTGGCCCAGTGGTTCTTGTATTATTTTGACACTTACATATTTCGAGTTTGATTAAGTCATGGGTATGGTGTCAACCCTTTGTTGCGCTGCCGGAATAACGTAATAGTGAGTTTCGCTATATCCGGCATAAGATACGTATAAAACCAGTTTAACACGAGGTATAACCCGTAGATCGATAATATAGATATATTGACAGATTCCATGATATTTGATTGGCCAACTGAGAATTTGTTCTGCTTTTTAATTTCATGAGGATATTTTAGGCCACGCCCATTGGCTTATCATGGAATGGGAGGGGCTTGTGTCGCATTGTCACGTAGTAAGTGTTGGTGTCGTCGGTAGTTTTAATGTTAATCGAAGATTTTATCATTGACATTATTAATAGGAACAGATTGACTTCAACATATTTGGGGTCTTCCGGTGTGGTCACTATGCAACGAAAAATCGTGACGTCAGATTTAAGCAACCAATCAATGATTATGTCAAATACCCACTTCCGTGAAGTTCCTTAGCAGGATTTAAACTCAGTACAGTCACTACATTAAAGCATGAGAGGTGTGAAAATAGTTACTCGATGAACGAATGTGAAACGGGAACCTCCCAAGCGGCAGGTCTCTCCTCCCAACCCCAAAAAAAAGCATACAGAAAAAAGGCAAAACTTTTCGGACCCAGCCCATACATCGAGTAGGAATAAAAATAAAACCCACCGTATCGAAATGATTGTATCACTTATGCTCTGCCTGGTATAGTTTCATATTTGTCAGTGGCGGTGTGGTAGCCTAGTGGTTAAAGCGTTGGCTCGTCACGCCCAACACCCGGGTTCGAATCCCCACATGGGTACAATGTGTGAAGCCCATTTCTGGTGTGCCCCGCCCTGATGTTGCTGGAATATTGCTAAAAGCGGAGTAGAACCAAACTCAGTCAGGCATTTTCTTCTGTTGATTTTGGGCAAATGTTTGTCATATTTGTCAGTAAGTCGACTAACCAGATATATAACATATATGTTTTGCATTTGTTGTGCAGTGCCTGTTCTACTAACGCATTTTGTCTACTCTATATCAGGGGTGACCTGCGGCGATCCACCCCCCATGAACCACACCATCGTTACCTTCAACCTCGTGCAGGCGACGTACACGTGTGATAAGGGATACAACGCCACGTCGCCATCAGCCGTCAAACTGTGCTCCGTCTACGGCAACTGGACGGGGCCGGATCTCGAGTGCACACGTGAGATATCATAGAGGCAAAAATACAGTGAAACAGAGGATTTGATAATGAATACAATTTCAGGTTTTTATGTGATATACCAGTGAGTGAGTATAGTTTTACGCCGCCTGTAATATTCCATCAATATCTCGGCGGGGAACCAAAAAAATGGGCTTCACACATTGAAGCGTGTGGGGAATCGAACCCGGGTCTTCGGCGTGACAAGCCAACGCTTTAACCACTAGGCTACCCCGCCGCCCGTGATTTACTAAAACAGACGAGTCTTGCCCTACAAACTATACTGACGTACTTAAGAAAGTACACACCCGGTTTTTTATTCCCATTAAAACCATAAGTATTTTGCTAGCACTGCTGTAATTGGGTGGTGGTGTTTTGGAAACATTTGCACAATGTTTGTGACAAGGCAGAATCAAAACACTTTTTAAATATTAATGCTGTTTTAAAGAAAATATTGTACCAAAGAATCAGGTGTGTACTTTCTTTGGAACGTCAGTTTATATATAGGTATTTTAATTTTTCACTTACTAATATTTTTAATAATAATAATTGATAACTTATTACTTGTGGCATCGTGTGGGTGTTGGGCGATGCATGGGGGTAGTGATGGGTGGGGACACGGGTGGCCCAGTGGAGTCTCTTTGGCACAGCGATCGTGGGGTTGAATCTTGGTTCCATCCGATCACCTTCCGTGTTTGTCATCACTGTGTTCCTTGTGAATTTTCAGAATGTGGTAAACGTCTCTTTGGGTTTTTGTACCACCTGAAACTGACATAACTGGAATACTGTTCAATACTAACACACTCACTCATTTGACGATAGGAGTTTATAGTCCGTTTGGCTCAAAATCGAAGGGCGGTGGGGTAGCCTAGAGGTTAAATCGTTGGCTCGTCACGCCGAAGACCTGGAGTTCGATTCCCCACATGGGCACAATGTTTGAAGTCCATTTCTGATGTCAGTCAAAATCGGACCACATCAGACCAACTCTGTTTTTTGAATGTCCTAAAAATAAAAAGTTGTTTAACAAAATCTAACTATTTGTTCGGGGTGCAAAGGGAAACAGGTGTGCAAGAACTGAAACATCGGCATAGTACTCTTACATGGAAACACTAATCATAATCTGTGTCAAAATGTTAATGAAACATCAGACCAACTGTGTGAGTTGTTTTTTTTCAGAATTACCAAGACACTGAAGAATAGTCCTGATTGGTCAAAAAAATCGGGAACCTTGAAAAAGTGATGTTTTCAACAAACTATCATTGACACTGAAGAATACTTGAGTCTCTTGACACAGTTCACTATTTGTTACGAGGGATGGGGTGCACAAGGGAGGAATTGCCAGCACACAAGGTGCCGCCTAACCCGCTCAGCCAAAGTGTAATCCCAAATGAGCTACATTTGACCACTTTCTAAATGGCATTGCGTTAATGAATCAATGACTTTGTCGGCACACAAAGTGCACGTACCAGTTGTCCGACGTCCATTACAGTCTCGTTTGGCTGTTCAACCCTCAGGATGCCTGTACTTTACTGAGAAAAGTAAGAAAGTTTGTCCTACCTAATTTTTCTCCTGAATACTTTTTGCCGACTATGGTTTGTGTTTCCAGTAAATTCATAGAAAAGCAGAAAGGACCTAATTTTTCTCCCCAAGCTTGTAAAACAACACGGGAACGGGAATCCTGTATGTCAACACCACCTACCGGTCAGAGGCAGTGTACACATGTTCAAAGGGACATAACCCTGTAGGAGGACAAGCGATAAAGGTGTGCTCAGAGAACGCTTCTTGGACAGGATTGGACCTTGTTTGTGAAAGTGAGTATCCTTGACCTACTGAATGTTTAGTTAATCCCCCAAGGTAACTATTTGACACCACACCTCTCTAAAAATACATAGTGCATTTCTCTAAATAATACCAATTATCATTCCCCAAGGAAAATACCACATAATTTATAACACCCAAGTCCCCATCCCCATATCCCCAATCACGTATTTAAATTACAAGATTAAATTAAAACGTTCGAATGAATTAATGCAACGTTGCATTAAATCGACTCTCGCGCCGTCTACCGACCGAACGTTATTTCAAGCGTACCCCACAGAGTTATGTTCCTTGGAGCGTTCTCTACGAATATCCTACGCACAACTTGTGATTCATTCGTAACTACTCGTCCCTTTCCGTTACCTGAAAGAAGACTCGTACCCTTCTCGTAGCCATGTCTGGATTTATTCCCCAGCCAATCAGAACGCGCGTATTTAGAGAAAAAATTGGGTCAAAATAGTTAGTTTACGCCGCCTGTAGCAATATTCCATCAATATCTCGGCGGGGAACACAAAAGATTTCGGCTTGCATAATGTTTTCCCAGACCCTTCAAGTATATTTTAATTATTGCATAGTCCTCCTTGGCTTCCTGAATTTTTATAACCAGGATATGTTAACATTATAGGAAAGTATTTATGCATGTTAAACATACCCTTTGAGGTATTTTCCTTGGCGTGGATGCATGTTTGTTTTCCAAGTAAACTAGAGTTACATGCCCTTGAAAATAGTTCGGCGACTAGACTATTTTTTTCTCTACGCTTTTGCACTCAGACAGCTCAGTAAAATGGTTACGAGAGGGGTACGAGTATTCTTTCAAGTTACGGAAAGGGACGAGTAATTACGAATGCCTCGAAGTTTCAGTTATCGATTTCCGGCAAGTCGTAAGGGATAATCAGTTTTTCATTTCATCAATAGGAAACTAAAGTGAGTGCATATGATCCAATATATATAACATAGGCCAAAATATTATCGGAAATGTGACATTGTGCATTTAAACTTAACCATATGGTGTTGTGTAAAAATTGATGCAAATAAAAGCCACCGCATTTATATGGATTTATCATATTGTGACAACCACAACTACCAAAAAGGATAATTGGCAGCTAACGGGATCGGGTCAGGATCGCTGACTTGGTTGACAAGTGTCATCCCAATTGCATAGATCGATAGGCATGCTGTTGATCACTTATAGATTGTCTGGTCCAGACTAAATTATTTAAAGACCGCCGCCAGGCAGGTGAAAGATTGCTGAGAGAAGCTTTAAACAAACAACCAAGCAAACAAACAAACAAATAAACAAAAATAAAAACAAAAAACAATAAGGAGTAAGTAAGTTTAGTTTGACGCCGCTTTTAGCAATATTCCAGCAATATCTCGGCGGTAAAATGAAAACGTAAACTCACTCTCAACTTCTTTTAAGTGCGGCAATATTAACCAATCATATTCTTTGCAGCTGTAAGTTGCGGGCCCCCTATTGACGTGGAGAACACTGAGTGGTCGGCCCAGCTCCACATCTACCAATCAGAAGCCGCATACAGCTGCGTGGTTGGGTATGAAAAGACGGGAGGGCATGGCATCAAGGTTTGCAACGAGACCGGTGCTTGGGATGGGAGCGACCTACAATGTGAAGGTGAGCGTCCAGCACACAATATGGTAATCTCACAACGCATAGAATCTCAAAGAGTCATTGTAGAACGACCGGCTTCATTAGATCCGAAAGGTCAAGGTCATCATTTAATGTCAAGGTCACTATTGAATTCTTAACCTAATATGTAAGTGAGTGAGTGAGTGATTGACTGTGGTTTTACGTTGCTTTGTGCAAAACACCATAGCAGGGGATACCAGAAACTGGGCCTCAACCACTGTAGCCATGTGTGGAATCTAACCCAGGTCTTCGGCGTGACGAGCGAACCTTTTTACCACCAGGCTACCCCATCCCCTTGAATGTGAATGTAATAATCTGCTTACAAGTGTCATGTCATTCTGTACAATATAATGTATAAATTTGTCGAAACTGACCGGAATATGATCTGGCCATCTAACCCTAATCTTGAACATGTGACATGTATCTTCAGTCAGACATTGTGGCGCTCCGCCATTGGTAGCCGATGCTGACGTCACGTACACCAACGACACCTATCTCTCTGAAGCCACATACATGTGCAAAACAGGCTACAACCACACCGGAGGTGACGTCATCAGGTCATGTGACCACACCAGCAACTGGCAAGGGTTGGATATCGTGTGTACAGGTACTGACGGACCGGCGTTATTAACTTATCAGGCTTCTCATGAAAGATTAAAAAACTCGGGTAATGACGTTTACCGTATTTCCTCGATTAAAACCCGTGACACGATCAAATAAGTGGTAGAATTGTAAAGAGTGTCTAAAAGAAAAACTTAGCCTTTGGCTGAGGAAGTACGGTAGCAGTGACCTGTACCGTAAATGTTCAAACAAACGTTCAGGAACTCAGGGTTCAGGGTGGGGTTTGCCGTTTCTGATACCAACGTGCAGTGTTTGGCCTTACCCCTGAAAAGCTGCAGGCCCTAAGGACCCAGAACCACAAGCATTGGTGGGCCCTGATCAGAATGTGTAGGCCCTATATTTTAGCAGCAGTATAAGTCATTTCCAGCACAAAAACAACGTGGCAACTAACAAACTGAGTTGAAGACTTTAATTTAACTCTAGTGACTGACAAGTCTTCCTCGAAAATGATAGTCGTTTCACTTATACAGACAACAGCTGTTGATCGAGATAAAAAACTAGAAATTACCGAATGATATTTTCTGAAAAATAATACTCTTAGTGTTTGGGGAATCAAAAAGCTGTTGGCCATAAGGACCTGCAGAAAACAAAAGCTGTGGGTCCGAGTTGTTTTAGGTCGCCTTCGGGCCTTAGGACCGACGTTAATGTCGAACACTGCCAACGTCTATACGCCAAGACGAATACGGGCTTGGAACACTAAATGATAGGCTTCTGTCACACACAAGGGACTCAACTCTGGAGGGCGAGCTGTGGCGACACGAGCAACTAACTCAGTTTATAAACGCTGAAAACAACGTGTTTTTACATGCTCACGACTGTGAGATAACAAAAAATATTGTTCTTCTGCAGCTGTCGCTTGCAGCACGCCACCGAGCGTACCCAACACTGACAGGATGTACACTAGCACCATCTACCGGTCAACTGTCGAGTATAGCTGTATCAAGGGATATAACTCTTCCATGTCCAACTGGACCATCACATGCAATGAGTCAGCAGAATGGGTGGGCGCCCTACCGACGTGCTTCAGTGCGTATCCTTGTACAAATTAAAATCAGCTTCGATTATTTTCTGCGATTATTAATAATACAGACCTGGCGACGAGATAATTGTCAAGAACCAAACCACGAACTTACATATGTAAGAGAGTTTATTTATTATTTATTACTGTTGAAATATTCGTGTCTTGATCCTTCATTTTTCAGTGACTCGACGGGTGTAACAGCCAAGTAACGTTTCAGTAACTTTTAGTCCGATCCGAAAAATAGAAGTCCATCCGTTGAAGTCTCGTTGACGTACCCGAAATGCAGTTGGTGTCGCTCCAGCTCATGAACAAAATACATTATGTTGCTGTTGGTGATTGAGCTCCACAATGAAACGTTAATTGATAAACGCTTCCTCTATTACAGTCTAAGTAAACTTAGGCTCAGTATTATTCGTTACACTGCTATACTGAGTCCTACAAAACCAAGTAGAAGGACGCGTCAGCTAACCTTTGAGCGACCTATGACCGTCCAATCAAACGCGAGACGACCGAACGGATTTAACCAATCAGACAACGACTACTAGTTAGGTTTCGGCGGGACTTACAAAACGGTTTTTGGATTTTCTCTTCCCTGGTCGCTGACACTGATCTATTAACAAACGAAAATCCGCATAAAACACAGATATTTGGCCTGCAGTATGGGTTTCTAATGACATGGTTACTATTTGCTTATATCTTCGCAAGATGACATCCTTGAATATTGACAAAAAACGCTATTATCAGCGACTATTTACTCATGGCGTGTATCACTCGGAAGCGATCGTGCGGGAAATAGCATTCGGAATCGTTCGAGCTTTTTAGGTAAAGGTTCATACGGTATGTGCGAATGTTAACTTTCGCGATTTGGTAAGCTGTGTTCTGATTGGTCAGTCCAAAAGGATAGCTGACGCGACCTTCTACTAGGTTTTGTTAGACTCAGTATAGCTGTGTAACGAATAATACTGAGCCTAAGTTTACTTAGACTGCCTCTATTAGACCTTGGGAGGTTTTCTTATTAATGACTGGGCGACATAGACCACATGTCGACTTTAAACCCTGGAATATTGGTAAAAGTGGCGTAAAACTAAACTCACCAGAGACCATGTGTCCCCGACCGCGTCATACCAAAAGACGTTAAAATATGGTACTTGTTGGTCACTGCCTGGCGCTCGGCATTAATGGGTACAACAAGGACTGGTTGGCTCGGAGTCAGTATACTGTGTCTGAGTGGGGTATTGATGCTTCACTGCGGCATGGTATCTCAGTGGGCTAGCACTATAAAACCAGCTAAAGTCTGGGCTAGTACAAGCAGCCGCACATACACATACACACGCACGCACGTCGTCATATGAGCGAAATATTCTCAAGCACGACGTTAAACCCAATTTCACCTCACCTCACCTCAGAGACCATGTGTGAACTCACCCATTCATATGACGTAATACGGTTCTCGTTCAAACCACGATCAGGGTTTGTCTTTGAAGCATCCTTGACCCTGATTTACAGTATCTCAACCCCCCAACCCCACCCCCATGTACAGTATCTTTCTTTCTCACCCGTACCCCAGGAGGTAATGTTTAGTGTGCTAGTAGAAACAGATATATTGGGAGCTCCAGTGTTTGACAGTAGCATTGATTGTATAGTCGGTCATTCAGTGTGAATAAAAGTCTGTGTCTATTTTGACATAAACCGGAGAGATAAACAAACTGTATATATAATTTTATTACCCAATGTAACGGTTCTGAGAAAAAACACATTGCAATACATATCGTTTGAAAGGCGTATTGCGATATACCGTTATATACCGGTAGTACCGTGCAGCCCTAGTCTATACACACTAGTGTTGGCAATTGGTTAAAATCTCAGCGGGTATTTTAAGTTGGATTACTTGTCCCCAATCCCTTTCACATTTGTGAATAAAATATGTTTAAATCAAATCAATCTCATAATTGATGTTTGGTTCATCACAACCGATCAATCATCGAAAATAATTAGTTCGCGTCATTTATCAAATTTTCCTGATTATGTTTCTTAATTAACAAAAAATAAAGAAAAAACATGTCGTTCTTTCGAGTTTTTTGCAAATTGCCTAAAATACATTTGCAAATTTTACATATTTAAAGGATGACTATATTTTTTTCAGTATGTTAGGAACCTAAAGCTCTTGGAGTCTTTAAGATAAATTCAATCCTGACTTGGAACGAGCTGGTTGTGCTTTTGAAATGTAACAGACAAATCCAACCTTGTGAAAAATATTGTTAAAGCAAAATAAGTGTTCCAAAATTGTTTGTGTTCGATTATGAGAAAACATGATCGATTGCTTGGTCGTTTAGTCATTGCGACCAATCTTCGATTATTTCAATTAATCGGACCACCACTAATACAGACCCCCTTGTCTTGAACTGCCTGTTTAGCGTGCTTTAGTCAGTAGGTGACGCTTTCATGCCTGCCTTTCAGTTATCGATTGTAACAGTCCACCGGACGTAGTCATGGCTGACGTCACAGTGAGGGGAACCACCTACCAATCAGAAGCGACCTATACGTGTCACCATGGATACAACTTAGTCGGCACGAGCAGCAAGAAGACATGCGCAGACACTGGTCGCTGGGAGAGCGCCGACTTCAGCTGTGAGAGTATGTGTTAATGAGTGTCACTTTGATTTAGATTTGATATTCGTTCGATTTTGGTTTAACGAAAATACAACGAAAACATTTGCCCAAAATCAACAGAAGAAAATGAGTGAGTGATTATGGTTTTACGCCGCTTTTAGCGATATTCTAGCAATATCACGGCGGGGGGATACCATAAATGGGCTTCACATATTGTGCCCAATTGGGGAATCGAACCCGGGCTTTCGGCGTGACGAGCAAACGCTTTAACCACTAGGCTACCCCACCGCCCCGATACAGTATGTGAAGCCCATGTCTGGTGTTCCCCTTAAAGACTCCTCAGCCATGATTTTCAAAGATCTCATAGAGCTAAGATAGTCAGTTGTAAGTTAATATTAATGTATGGCACTTACAACCATTTTAGCGCTTAGAGAGCTTCGAACATCTAGGCCCTGGGATATTGCTAAAAGCAATGTAGAACCACACTCACTCCTCCAACATCCGTGAGTGAGTATGACTTATAAACCTCCAGAAGAAAACTAACTGTTCGGAACCCTATACATTTTGTAAGCTGTTTGTCTATTTTGCGGACTAAATCGCTGGGCTGAGTACACTATTTTCTCATCACAGCATCTAAGTGAGAGAAGGCATCAATAACACTTCTTGCTGGTGAATATATTTATTTGATATTAAAATATGTTTACACGCCCTGTTTATAACTCGCTTGGAGTGAATACAGATAAATACAATGGTATCTTCGTAGTTGTGGACTGCGGGCCTCCGCCGGAAGTTAACAAAGCGACGTATACCAGTACCGGAAGCTTGTTTGAGGCCAACGCCAGTTACTCTTGCATTGTGGGATACAAGGTAGACGGTGGGAGTGCGAGCAAAATGTGCACGGAGTTCGGCAAATGGAGCGGTGTGGATCTCAACTGTACAAGTGAGTTTCACGTGGGCCTCGTTCATCTAAAACTTGCCAGTCATTCTGACTTTCCAGAAAAAATGAATTTAAGGCAATATATAACATTATATTATATATAATATATTCATGTCTCTCAGTACCGCCCGACCCAAAAATTCGACCCTACCCTTAGATTATTTATATTTTTTTACACAAGAGAAAATGCAACTTCTCTCTCAAAATGTGCACGAAGTTTTCACACTTCTAAGTTTTGATTTTCTATCGGAGAAAAGGTATAAATTGTCACAGAAATCAAGGGGTTTTGGACATAAAATAAAATAAAAATGCGTTGAAAGTAAAATATCAGGTGTTAGGCAGGCCAGGGTCAACGGATCAAGTGTTCAAATCCTATAGTCACACCCAGAGTGGGTGGCTTTAGTTTTAGTTTTAGTTTTCCGGACTCAAAAAGAAAATACAGTTTACTGAATAAAAATAACAGTAAAATGTAAAATATAAACTTGTTATACAGTTTAATTTCTTGTTTATTAAAAAGATCATAAATTGTTTCAAGTGTACGTACATGTGAACAAATTAGCGACAGCAATGACAAGGAACACACGTAGGGAAAACCCGTGAAGATCCGGGTTAGACTTGATCTTCAGCAACCAATGCTTGCCGTAAGAGGCGACTGACGGGACTGGGTGGTCAGGCTGACTTGGTTGACACATGCTATTGTATCCCTATTGCGTGGGTCGATGCTCATGATGTCAATCACTGGATAGTCTGGTCCAGACTAGATTATCCGCACACCGCCGCCATATAGCTGGAATATTGCTGAGTGCAAACTAAATTCACTCACTCACATGTCATATATGAACGCTAGGAAATGCATACGTTCCAGTCACCCATCCTCGTGACAGCAGGGGTATATACTGTGTATTCTCTGGAAAATTGTTCAGATGTAGTTTTTTTACTGAATAATAGTTTATGCAGACTAGTGTGGTTTTAAATGTATGTGTGTATTCGCTCACTTTGGAATGTGTGTGTGGGGTATTCATGCTTCACTGCGGCATGGTATCTCAGTGAGCTAGCACTATAAAACCAGCTTAAATCTGGGCTGGTACAAGCAGCCACACATACGCCTACACGTCGTCATATGAGCGAAATATTCTCAAGTGCGACGTTAAACTCCATTTCACCTCACCTCACCTGTCTAACGGACCAGTCTGAATACGAGTTTACAAAGGCCTCAGTGTTGGGTTGGCGATATGAAAAACACTGCGTTCAGTCCTGCCGATTACGACTGAGGTCGCAGGAAACTCCAAATTGAACATTTGATTGGAAGGCAAAGGAAGGTCCTCTGTTACATGGAAAGGATGCCTTCACGTCCTTCAACACACTGGTTCTGAGCATTCGATACCACTCGTCCCTTTCTGTAAACTGTAACACTCGGCTTGTTCCGGAATAACACGAGTTGGTCCCGGGTGGGTTTTGAGGCAATACGAGGTACCCCACTTACCGTTTTTACCTTTGTCCTTATCACAACGTTTGATTGGTTGGTAAAATGCTTATGAAAATCAAGGGCAGGTAATTTGCGGTCTCGTGATCCACGATAAATGGTCCCGGGTTAAGTGGAAGTAAACCGTAAAGAGAGGGTGTTATGAAGTTAACCCCGGCGTCCTTGACGAGGGCTATGGTGTTACCTTGGCTGACACTGACGGTCGGGTCAGTTGGACTCCTACTCTCGTCAAACAAGAAAAACGTGTCACCAGAGACTATATAATCTGTTAAAGAGTCCCCGATGTCTTGTGTCCGACAGGTGAAATACATTCACTACATACTTCCTGACAGGTGTGTTAAATTGAGGTCGCCTCATAGTCTCTCTTAATACTCGCTTTCGAAACAAATAAGTGAATGCGTCCTTGTATCTCTCGGATTTCAGTAAAAGAAGATGTATACTATTTCCCTGTGTAAAAACCCTGTTCTACATGCCTGCTCCATTGGTGAGTGAGTGAGTTTAGTTTAGCTACCCCCGTCTCCGCGCCGTGACTATGAGACTTGAAAGGCCCAAAATGAAGTGGCCACACGAACTCATCTCTATGGATACATTTTCAACATAATGGGAACACGAGAGATTTGCCTCGTACCGGCCGTCCACTCGTGACGTCACGTCAGCAAGACAACCATATTCGGGTGACCCATCTAAGGAATCGACTACAGTTTGACTGCTCGGACCATGGCGTACGTCCAGTACGTTCCAGGGCCTAGATTTTCGAAGCTCTCTTAGCGCAAAGATCGTCGTAATGTATGGCACTTACGACTTAATGCTAATGTATGGCACTTACGACTATCTTAGCGCTAAGAGAGCTTCGAAAATCTAGGCCCTGGACTGTACGGAACCGACTGAGGGAGCATCACATCCGGCCCCGCGGACTTGCAGTAAGTCCAATTATGCTCCAAGGTCACCGACAGGCACGTCTTCCTTGGTGAGACAGCATCTACGGTACAGTAGACAAGATTGGGATGGTGTTTGGTTCACTGACGAGTGGAGATTTCATCTGGACAGCTCAGATGGCAGGTCAAGGGTGTACAGACGGCGAGGTGAAGGGTATGCTGACACGTGCGTTGTTCAACGTCGGCAGTTTGGTGGCGAAAGCGTTTTGGTTTGGGGGGTTTCATATCTCATGGTCGGACACAACTTGTCATTGTCAATGGCAGTCTGACAGGTCTGTGATACAGGGATGAGATCATTGGGCCTCATATGCAGCCGTTCATTCAAGGACAGAGACGTAGCTTCACGCTTCAGCAAGAAAATGCCCGTCCACATGTCGCTTGTGTTGTGACAGATTTCCTGAGACAGCAGAACATTTCGGTACTCTCCTAGCCAGCTGTTTCTCTGGACCTGCCCCTATCGAGCACACTTGGAATGAAATGGAGCGATGTTTACGTTAAGACCAGAATCAGATATTGACGTTAGCTGAATTGGGACAAGCATTGGTTCAGTCATGGAACAACATTCCCCAAGCTTTCTTCAATTGTTTAGTGCGGTCTATGAGTCGTCGTTGCCAAGCCTGCATCAACGCCAGTGGTGGACACACACCCTACTGAATTTGTGAACTGACTTTTGACACCACAACCCTTCAAAGGCGTGTCACGATGCCTATAGTCTGTTTGCAGTGAAAACGTACCGATGAATTTCACTTTATACAAAAAAGTAAATCAAATAAAGTGAAATTAAGATTGTAAATCCTCATAATGTTACCTTGACAACTGAACATTTAAATCTGAGAATTTTATTCAACATAGGATAAAAGTTGTTTAACAAACGATCATAGTCTCAAATCGCTATTATTGGTTTGTATTACAAGGGGGTATGCACATTAAATGAAACACCGAAAACAAGTAGGGTTGGTCTAATTTAACACTCATCAGTACCGCTGTTTCACTGTTCCAACTACAGCGCTTACCCCCTTGTAATACAAAGCGAAACGTCCAGAGAAATATGGTTTTCTGTCATTCATATTTCAAATATAGGATTTGGGTCCAAGTTGCCCAACTCGCGGATCTCCAATCGTTTTAAATACTAGTAGATACGAAACATTTTAGTTGGCAACAAGAAGACGGGTTTGGCTCAAAAGCGGACCGATGAATTGCAATCTAACTCGAAAACTAATAAACATAACATACTCAATGAAACGCTGATCATAATCAAAACATTATACCCACTCTGTGAGGTTTTTGCAGAATTTTTGTCCTAAAAATAATAAAGTTGTTTAACAAACTATCATTAAAATATTGACACAGTTCACTATTTGTTACGAGGGAGGAGTGCAGAGAAAGGGACAGCCAGGTGTTCGAGAAGCACGTTCACAGACAAAGTTATATATTCATTAACCTGTGCTGTGCCGTCTCCATCCATTCTCGGATGCAATTCATCGGTCCACTTTTGAGCCAAACGGACTATACCCGTGAACAACAGTTTCTCAAGTACTGAAGGGCTCATTTCCAAAAGAAGAATCGATTCTACAGCGTGTCAGTCTCAAATTGCGAAACAGACAACTTGTATCTCCCAAATAAGTTATAATAAAATGAGCATACTGTACCATTTACCGAATTAAGAATTTGACTGCAATTTTGTGCTTCCAGTCGTGACTTGTCCCCCGGCGCCTGAACTAAGCCACGCCCACCTGGCCGGCAACAACACTCGAACCTACCAATCAACAGCCAGGTATTCCTGTGACCTTGGTTACGATGAAGATGGCGGCAACAACACCCTTGTCTGCACTGAGGAAGGAGTATGGCATGGGATAAGGTTAAAGTGCAAAGGTTCGTTTTATTCAGAGTGAGTGAGTTTAGTTTTACGCTGCAGTTCAGTGTGAATGAAAGCTTGTGTAGATATTGACTTAGAGATAATCACAAAACTTCATATACATGTATTTTTATTACCCAATACACCATTTCTGAGAACACAACACAATTCCCTCTCCTTCCACACACACACACACACACACACACACACACACACACACACACCCCGCATTGTAATACGTATCTTTCGAAAGGCGTATTGCAATATACCGGTATACCGTTAATACCGTGAAGTCCTAGTTTTACCCCGCACTCAGCAATACTCCAGCTATATGGCGACGGTCTGTAAATAATCGAGTCTGGACCAGACAATCCAGTGATCAACAGTATCAGCATCGTTCTTTGCAATTGGGAACCGATGACATGTGTCAACCAAGTCAGCGAGCCGAACCACCCGATCCCGTTAGTCGCCTCTTACGACAAGCATGGGTTCCTGAAGATCAATTCTAACCCAGATCTCGTTTTATTCAGAACGCTCAGAACGTGAGTGAGTGAGTGCTCGAGTGAGTGAGTGAGTGAGTGCACTTTAGTGAAGTGCTGGTATTGGCATACAACCTGCGATACGATGCATCACGATACTAAAATTTTAGTCACGAAGATATATTGCCAAAGTATTGTGCACTGAAGCTGCGATACGATACGAATCCCGATACAAAGGTGGCGATACGATACGTATCACGATACTAAAACCTTAATTCTAACACCAAATGTAAAACACCTTGAGATCAAAACAAAACCACTTGAAAGTATTTCGTCAAATTCTGCCAGCGTTTTTCAATGTTCATTCGGAAATGAGATAATTACGTTTATACACGGACTTTGTGCTTAAAATGCGAGCGCTATGTTGACACAGTTCCTGACGCAAGAATTTCCGAGACACTTATGAAGGGAAAATAAGTATGCATACATTTCCATCATTAAACAAAAGGGAGTCTTTCGTGACAGATATCGGGATTCGGCAATATTCAAAGTAAAACATCGATGTATCGTGGCCAATTTGAAGTATCGTATCGGGATATACGACTATGTAAGACTTTGTATCGATTCACTGTATCGACGGCCCATGGATCGATGCATTGATGCGTATCGATGAATCGTCACCCCGCTAGAGACCAAGGGCACCGAGAACAATGGGGAGCCTGGCAGCAGTGTACTTGGGATGCAAGCGAGACTGAAGTGCCGCGTCAGTTCTTGAAGGTATTCATGTCAAGTGACAACAAAGCTCTACGGAAGGTTAGGAGGTGAGGTGTGGTGAAATTGGGTTTATCGTCGTGCTTGTGAATATTTCGCTCATATGTCGACGTGCATGCGTTTGTATGTGTATGTGCGGCTGCTTGTACTAGCCCAGACTGAAGCTGGTTTTATAGTGCTAGCCCACTGAGATACCATGCTGCAGTGAAGCATGAATACCCCACTCAGACACATTATACTGATCCGAGCCGACCAGTCCTTGTTGTACCCATTAATGCCGAGCGCCAGGCAGGGACCAACAAGTACCATATTTTAACGTCTTTTTGTATGACGTGGTCGGGGATCGAACCCGCGACCTTCCGCTCTCCGGGCTCTCCGGGCTCTAACCACTACACCACGGAGGCGGTTCGGAAGGTTAGGAAGGTTCGCGACGTTCTTTTCCCTTAAGTGGCGGTGGGTTAGCCATGTAGTTAAACCGTTCGCTCGTCACGCTGAAGACCAGGGGTCCGATCGATTTCCGATTCCCCACAAGGGTACAATGTGTGAAGTCCATTTCAGCGACACGGTAACGTTCGCAATGTTTACATTCCCACAATGCAATCGTGGAATGTCGCTTGACTACTCAGCTGGATGTACTGATCTAAACTTATGTTGGTAGTAGAAATGCGACGTTCATATTGCCCCATATGGTTTACGTTAATGACAGATGTAATTAAGATAATTCAGAGAAGATATTTAATCCGAACGTAAACCGTCATCAAACTGTAATCATTTGTTTTTTTCTGGTAACGTTCGTCTTAACGTAGGGGGGCAGACACATCAATAGAACAGCGCGCCAGTTAGCCCTGTGCGAGGATTTTTAATTTAGGTCACCGACACCGTCGTTTGTTTTCTGCCTTAAATTAATCGTAATTATCCTTAGAAAGTATTAAATTTGGCATCTTAGAAAAGAAATACAGTTCGCTCTACCACCATGTATAGTGTAATAAAGCACACTTTCGCCCTGAACTATTATAACGTTAAAGCACATGGACTTGTACTTTAACTATAATAGTTCAGGGCGAAAGTGTGTTTTATTACACTACACATGATGGTAGAGCGAACTGTATTTCTTAAATATATATGTAATGAATACATATCAAAACACGCTGATACATGTTATCATATACTTCTTCTTGCGTAGATAGATGCTGATGATGGGGATCACTGGGTTGTCTGGTCCAGACTTGGGTGTTCAAAACCATGCGTCATACAGCTGGAATATTGCTGAGTGCGGCGTCAACAACAAGCAAACTGATATACATCACTTTGGCTACTGGAACCATATATTTGTAAACATTTTGTGGTTAAACGTCATTTTGCTTCCTTCATCTTAAATGAAACAGGTGTACAACAAAGATCTGTCAAGTCTTGGCTGCTTCAGCTCCCGAAATTAAATATTGTTCTGGACTCCATTTTGATGTTTGTTTGTAAATATATATTTAGATGACATTTTTAAGGGGACATGTTGTAAAATTTACATTTTTATTCAGAGAAGCCATCGCCTGCTGAAATCATCGGGGTCATCAAGAAATTTGAACCGGTAGCTGTGGAGGCTTCCGGGTCAGTTGGAGTCGGCGTAGTAGCGTACGGCATCATGGGTGTGCTGTTGTTCGTGATGTTGCTGCTGGATCTCGCGACCTTCTACAAGCATCTGATGTACATGAAGGAAAACGTGAAGGACTTCTGGGAGAGCAGGAGACCCGCCCCCTCCATCTCACTCCCCGAGAAGCACAGGACCTACAGCTCAGAGGCTTGAGGCGGTAGTAGGGTGAGGGTGGGTGGGTGGACAGGGGTGTGTGTGACACGGAACATACAGAACATACAGAAGGCTTTAGCCGGTAGTAGGGTGAGGGGTGGGTGGGTGGACAGGGGTGTGCGTATACATATCACATATATCTCACAGATCTGGTCAGGAGTAGTTAGGGAGGGGGCGACACGTCATACAGCTCAGAGGCCAGAGGTCGGCAGAGGTTAGGTTTGGGAGGGTGTGTCATATCCTATACGACTTAGAAGTTTCAGTTATCGGAGGGACGGTCTTGTTTGGTATAGGAGGGGGTTGGAGGTACGTCACATACAGCTTGGAGTGGCTTGTGTTGGCCGGGAGTGGGAGGGATTGGATTGGTGGGGGGGTGGGGTGGGGGGAAGTAGTAGAGATGTCACATAGCTGTGGAGGTGATACGTCGACAACTTATTTGCGTCTGACTATGATTTTCTGAACAATTGTAATCGAAATGTACATCACGAAACTCATCTACATTTTGCTTTATCTTTTGTGAATAAATATGAACGTATTCTCATGTTTGATGTTTTCTTTCTCGGTGTTGTTGGACGAGACTGTTAACTATTGGCATATTACAACAGCATAAAAATTCAGTCGGACCTCTTTGTGTCGAAATCGTAGGGATCTGTAATAAACCCGTTCGAGTTGTACGAGAATCGAGGATTTCACAGGTGTGGATCAAGAGGGGAAGTGTGTCGGTGGGTGGGTGGGTGGGGATGGGATGGATGACACGTGGATGCAGGTTCCATCTGTGTAGCCGATAATGAATTGGTTGTTATCCAACTATAACATCTATCTCCAATTTGAAGAGCGTCCGCCCGGAGAGCGGAAGGTCGCGGGTTCGATCCCTGGCCGCGTCATACCAAAATACGTTAAACTATGGTACTTGTTGGTCCCTGCCTGGCGTTCGGTATTAATGGGTACAACAAGGACTGGTCGCCTCGGAGTCAGTATATTGTGTCTGAGTGGGGTATTCATGCTTCACTGCGGCATGGTATCTCATTGAGCTAGCACTATCAAACCAGCTTAAGACTGGGCTAGTACAAGCAGCCACACATACACACGCATGCACGTCGTCATATGAGCGAAATATTCTCAAGCACGACGTTAAACCCAATTTCACCTCACCTCACCTTCAATTTGAAATTCACTGGTTTCGTAACACTGTCCAGTTGTCTCCCTTGGTGGATCAGATCGACGTCTGTCATCAACGTTATTTGTCGGTTGATATCGTGTTAAAATATGATTTTTATTGACTGTGAAACGGTAGGAGCTCGTGCCACAATGCTTTGTCCTGCTCCAACTTCCAACTTGCTAACCAATTGCTGGTAGCCGTTCTTAACGTGACAGACGCCGCATGTAAGAAAAAACCCCGTTTGATTGAGTTTAAAACAATATCAGAACAACCTTCAGTCTCTTATCACTGAAATGTACAGCACCACATTGACACGTTTCACGGTAAATTTCGAAATTTACCCCGACCATATATATTCACGTGTTCATCGGGGCGGTGGGGTAGCCTCGTGGTTAAAGCGTCCGCTCGTCACGCTTAACACCCGGGTTCATTTCCCCACATGGGAACAACGTGTGAAGCCCATTTCTGGTGTCCCCTGCCGTGATATTGCTGGAATATTGCTAAAAGCGGCGAAAAACTAAACTCACTCACTCACGTGAACATCTTGAAAAACGTGAAATTGTGTGTTTGCACGAAATTTGTAACACGCTGTGAATGGAATAATCATTTTCTAAATTCAGATTACAATCATACAACTTGCTAAACTGGCTCCCACATAATATCCCCAGGGTGGAATATCCCAAACACTATTTAATAGTATATAGTGTGTTTCAAATATGTATCTGAACATCACTTGAGTTCACTCTGTGGGAATCTCACCCGTGGAATACCTTCATATGAGGACGTACAGGACTTTACATTGTGAAGAGAGTCGTACAGAAAACAGCATGACGTTTTAAACTTCACAGTTATCTGCCCTTGATGACCTTGTGATTAGGCCGTAGTGATATTCGCAACTCTGCAAGAACACTGCGACTATTCAGCCGATGTAAAGTTTCAGTTGGGAAACATTACCCCGAAGAGAAGATAATTTGGGCCTGAGGGAAGGTAAGATGGTTGAACTTGAACGATGATTTACGGACAACTATGTTAACAAGATACAGGTTGTTGCAGTTGTGTAAACGTGGTAGTTGCACAATGAAGTGACAATTGTCCAAAACGTCCCGTTGTACAAACTGTTTTGTCAACAGTGTATGAAATAAGGCCCTTTCGACCGCCTGAGACGGTCTAGATTTCTGACGGACGGTCTAAATTTACAGCTAGACAGCCCTATAGTCTGGTAAAATGTTTAGATATTCCATGCATCTGTATAAATTCACCATATTTGGTCTGGTTAAATCCATTTTGGGCTGGTAACATTTTGAAGTTACCAGCCCTGATGTACTGTCTGGCTGGACTTTTGGCTTATTTCATACAGACAGACAAACAGATGTATTTCGTAGAGTGGCCATGAGGCCAAAAGTACAGTGACATTTTGACATCATGTTCTTTGGAGTGCTGGCATGAGAAGTACACTGGCATTTATAAGTATCATAAAACGTTATGGATTTTGTTTACAAATATGGCTAGGCGTAAAATAACATTTGCATTTTGGGTATTAAGTAAAATTACAAACTTCTGTATGTTGTGATTTACACAATAATATTGTGGTATATACCTGATGCATAAATCAGAAAAAACACGACATTGTAATAGAACATGGTACTCGTCTTGGACAATATTGACGCAATGAGCGCACATGGCAGAACTGATATCATCATCTTTGGATCTTCTATGGGTTTGTACATTCAGTTTACTGATGCCACATCTAAAATTTTGTAATTTTCATACACTGGTTTTGTATAGATGAAATATACAAAGCCTTAACAATTTTGTATTGATGTTATATACAAAGCCTAAACAATTTTGTATTGATGTTATATACAAAGCCTAAACAATTTTGTATTGATGTTATATACAAAGCCTAAACAATTTTGTATAGATGAGATATACAAAGCCTAAGCAATTGTGTACTGTTATATACAAAGCCTAAGCAATTTTGTACTGATGTTATATACAAAGCCTAAACAATTTTGTATAGATGAGATATACAAAGCCTAAACAATTTTGTATTGATGTTATATACAAAGCCTAAACAATTTTGTATAGATGAGATATACAAAGCCTAAGCAATTTTATAAAGATGAGAAACTTTTCCTTGAATGGACGTCAAACATTTTCGGACAGCAGTGCTTACGTGGGCCATAGTGAGAAGTGGTCGACCACAGTGCCACAGATATATTATTGATTGTAAATTCTGGAATGATGACTTGTGTTGAGGGTAGTGTTTTAAGTTAGTGACATGTTCACAATTATTCATGCATAATCGAGACAAGAGATGTTCGTAAGTGTTTGAAAACCCATAACACAGGGATATTGTGTAGTCTGTCTCACAGTTCCCGAACCATGTTATTCTCCCTACAGAAGCAAATCGAATGTGTAAACCCCATTTCTGTTGTCCCCCCGCCGTGATATTGCTGGAATATTGCTAAATGCGGCGTAAAACCGAACTCATTCACTCATACAAATGATTCCTTTACGGTCCAAATATAGTGGTCACATGGAAAATACCATAACGATATTGCCATGCACACAGGAGTAGAGTCGGATAAATTATCGTAGGTGATATTTTCAATAAAGCTATGGATAAGAAGTAACACCCACACGATATCAACGAAACTCTTACTGAAGTTACCGCCTCCGTGGTTAGGGCGTCCGCCCGGAGAGCGGAAGGTCGTGGGTTCGATCCCCGGTCGCGTCATACCAAAAGACGTTTCGGTTCTTGTTGGTCCCTGCCTGGTGCTCGGCATTAATGGGTACAACAAGGACTGGTCGGCTCGGAGTCAGTATAATGTGTCTGAGTGGGGTATTCATGCTTAACCACTGCGGCATGGTATCTCAGTGAGCTAGCACTATAAAACCAGCTTAAGTCTGGGCTAGTACAAGCAGCCGCACATACACACGCATGCATGCACGTCGTCATATGAACGAAGTATTCTGAAGTACGACGTTCAACCCCATTTCACCTCACCTCACCTTAATGAAGTTGAAAAGAGAAAGAAGAAACTGAAAGAAGTAGTGGTAAAATCCTTTTATGCAAACGTAAACAAGTAATGTTTTGGCAGCGTAAACAAAATGTGTATTTCTTCTGCTAAAGGAACTGTACAAAATTGTATGTTTTGGACGCCAGGGAATTAAACCCAGAATATAAGTTTAGAAAAAGAAATGTGTCTGAAAAGTGACATGTCTACATACATAGCTCCAACATTTGTAATATATTTCTTGCTTATACTTGTCATGGTGTTTGTGAAACTGGTTATGTTACATAGAATCAATACGGTATACATTTAGCTGTGTTTAGACATAGATAAGTGTAGAAGAAAATGTGTCGGAAACTCTACTGTGTCGGTGTCTACATAGCCACAGCATTCTTAGTGTACTTCTTAGTTACATTTGTCACTTTTCCTTTTCCGTTCTTTTCTCATTCTCCACTGACTCTTGCTGAACTTAACAATGAATGTCGCCAATACCAACTGGTCTGCATAAGTCATCTCACAGCGGGAATTGTCAAGTTACGTGTAATCACTACGAGCTATTCAATACACGCATATACGGTGTTTTCTCATTCTCGGTCGGCTCTTGCTGAACTTAACAATGAATGTCGCCAATAGCAAGTCGCATCTCACAGCGGGAATTGTCAGGTTACATGGAAAGCCATGTTTTCTCACATACATATTGACGGTGGCGGGTGACCTCGTCTACCTAATCAACTCGTGAAGATCCGTGTTGGAATTGATCTTCAGCAACCCATGCTTGTCGTAAGAGGCGACTAACGGGATCGGGTGGTCAGACTCGCTGACTT